TTCATTCCCATTTTATCAATCCCCTGTTTAGTTCCCATTTTATCAATTCCCCATTTAATTCCCATTTTATCAATCCCCATTGAATTCCCATTTTATCAATCCCCATTGAATTCCCATTTTATCAATCCCCTGTTTAATTCCCATTTTATCAATCCCCATTGAATTCCCATTTTATCAATCCCCTGTTTAATTCCCATTTTATCAATTCCCCATTTAATTCCCATTTTATCAATTCCCCATTTCATTCCCATTTTATCAATCCCCATTGAATTCCCATTTTATCAATCCCCAATTCATTCCCATTTTATCAATCCCCATTTCATTCCCATTTTATCAATTCCCCATTTAATTCCCATTTTATCAATCCCCATTGAATTCCCATTTTATCAATCCCCATCCATTCCCAGCAGCCTCCCAGGGAGGACGAGCTGGCTCTGGCTGAAGGCAGAATTCCCGAGGAAGGTTTGGAGTAACTCAGTGCCCAAAATTATCCCGAATTTCGTGCTGATTTAGCTCTTAAGGCTGTTTTTAATTTGCTGCCCACCACCACCATCTGGAGAACAACGGGAGTACTACAGGAGTAGAGACTGAGGAGATTTCTCCCAGTTCCAGGAAGGTTTCCAGGTGGATGGAGGGAGTAGGACCAATCCCTTCATATTTTCCTTACAGATTCTCATCTTCAGGCTACACAATAAAATTATTCCAGAATAAAAAAGCCATAAATGAGGGATAATAAGGCAGCAAATAGATATTTTAATGAAGTATTTATTGCCACATCCTAAATATTTACCTGCCTCTCTAATCCCTAAAAAAGTTCATTCCAATATTTAATATTAAATCAATTCTTAAATCCTTGATTTCCTCATGCTCTGGGATTCACCACAAATCCCATTTTTGTTTCAACATCAAAATTTGCTGCAAACCCTTCAAAATATCCAAATATCCCCCACACACCTGAAGGAAACGTGGCGAAATGGTGGGAATGAGCAGCCAGCTGCCAAATCTAAACCAGGAGATGCTAAGGAGCAAAAAAAAAAAAAATTGGGATAAGAACTCTTCTGGATGCTCCAAGTGTAGCTACAAATTTATTCTTCACACCCTCGCTCTTCCCTCCTGCCTGGATTGCCTATCACAAAGCTGGAGTCAGAAAATACGGAGCAGGGTTGGGAAAACATCTGAACAACTTGGATGAAAATAGGGACAAAAATTGTGGAGAAGAAGCTTGGAAGACTTCTCCTCTCAGCTTGTCACCTGAGGATCTCCATCCCATATCCCTCCTGCCCTGCAGGAACCATAAAAGCTGTTTTGGGGGAATATTCCCTTCCTTTTCCACAGAAAATGATTACATCACACCTGGCTTGGAATTTCTGCTTTGGGATTCGCCTCCCTTATTTTTTTGGCTGTCTCCATTAACATCTTCCATGGTTTAGCCATTATTTTTTTCCTTCAAATCTCCAATTAATTTGGGTTTTGTATCACTAATAAGCAGTGAGCTTGCAGCTCTGTTGGATTTCTATTCCAAATCCATGATCTTCACCAACCTTAATATTCCATGATTCTGTGGCAGGTCCTGAGTCATTGGGAATTCTGTAGGGAAGAACTGCCTGGAATGGGACAGAGCTCAATGCCTAAAATTTCAATAAAAAATGGGAATGTTCAGCCCAGCTTTTGCAGGATCAGCCAATGTAAGTGTTCACGAGGTAAGGATTAGAAATGAGATTTAAAAATGGGAATTTTAAGCCCAGTTTTTGTAGGATCAGCCAATGTAAGTGGTCAGGGAGGTGAGGATTAGGATCTCAATTAAAAAATGGGAATTTTAAGCCCAGTTTTTGTAGGATCAGCCAATGTAAGTGCCCAGAGAGGTGAGGATTAGGACTGAAATTTAAAAATGAGAATTTTAAACCCATTTTTAATAGGATCAGCCAATGTAACTGGATAGGGAGGTGAGGATTAGGATGTCAATAAAAATGGGAATGTTCAGCNGGATCAGCCAATGTAACTGGATAGGGAGGTGAGGATTAGGATGTCAATAAAAATGGGAATGTTCAGCTCAGTTTTTATAGGATCAGCCAATGTAAGTGCTCAGGGAGGTGAGGATTAGGACATCAATAAAAAAATGGGAAATTTAAGCCCAGTTTTTGTAGGATCAGCCAATGTAAGTGCTCAGGGAGCTGAGGAGGATGCAGAAAGAGGAGCTGGGGCAGAGCCGCGTCCCAGTCACAGCAGCAATTCCAGTTCCTGCGGAAAACCGGGAATTTTCAGCACTACAAAACCAGCAACAACCCGAGCAGGGCTGTCAGGGCTCCAGGAAAATCCACAAAATTCTGCTGGAGCAGGAGAGAGGAGCAGCGATGCCCTCTTGTGTTCCAAGGGATACATCCATGACAAATCCCTGGCAATTCCTCCCAAACCATGGACAGAGGCACATTCCAAGCTCAGAGCGAACCCATCCTTCCGAGCCCACCCTATGGAAAAGCTCCCGCTGTCAGGAATGCAAATTCCTGCCCCACAAAAGGGAACAACTCGCAAAGGTGAGCCAGCCCCTTCACTGCCAAAATTCCCAATCCATCTGAAATTAGGGAACTCGCTCGGTTGCATTTATCCCAGCAATTAATCACAAAACCTGGACAAAAGCTCCTGCAATTCCTCTATCTCAGCTATTCCAGGGCAGTTTAGAAATCCTATTTTCAGCAGGAAAACTCTTTCCAAAGGACTTTAACTAATGGGTTTGGGATGTCCTCTAGAGCTGCTCAAATAAAGTGCTGATCTTGACAGAAACCCAGATTCCAACTTGGAATAATGACGGGAACATGAAGCAGCCAACGGAGCCAAGAGAGGAAAGTTTAGAATCTAAAACCAATCCTAAACCCAAGTGTGAGCACGGAATTTAAAGTGCAATTAATATAACCTCAATGTTCCCATGAAAAGCACAACACGCATCCTGATTTTGCCATAAAATCCAGTTCCAGCACAGGAACACCCAAGGCTTTGCCTTCCTCCTCTCCCTCTGGATTAATTCCTTTGTTTTGGCACTTGACACCAGTTCCAGTTTTGGATCTCACCTTGTAATCAGCTCTCTGATGGTTTCCCAGGACTTACCTCCAGTTTATGGGATCCTCTCCAGTTGTACAAATGCTGAGCTCAACAAAACCCAGATTCCAGCTTAGGAACATGAAGCAGCAAAGGGAGCTGAGAGTGGAGCATTTATAAACTAGAACCTAAAACTGACTCTGAACCCAAAGCTGAGAGCACAGAATTTAAGGTCACACTGACGTCACCTCAACATCGCCATGACAAGCAGGACACACATCCTTATTTTGCCATAAAATCCAGTTCCAGCACAGGAAAATTCTCCTCTCCCTCTGGATTAATTCCCTTGTTTTAGCACTTCATCCCAGTTCCAATTTGGAATTCACCTTGGAGCAACCCCCTTGTAATCAGCTCTCGGATGGTTTCTTGGGGATTTATCTCCAGCTTGACTTTAGATCCCAATGGGGTTTTTTCCAAACCTTTTTCCTCACACAGGGATGGAAACATCCAGAGAGTCAGATCCTTTCCCTCAACCCTCTGTGGGAGAGTTTAGCACCATCCTGAACTCGTGTGGGTGCAATGTTAGGAACACAAATCCTCTGGTTGAGACCAGAATCAGAAGTTTCGAGAGAGGCTTTTAACTAAGTTAAATTTCAAAAAAACATGAAAATAACTTGTTTTATAAACTTACATCCGTGATACAACAACTGATAGAGATTGATTAATCAGATTGATATATATGAGATACTTAGGTGGTTATTTATAATAAAAAAGGATTGGAAAAGCCAATCTGGAACCAGAAAACGAGCAAACGAATCAATGAATGACTAAAAGCAGAATGAAATGGGACTCACCAGTCGTGGTAGGTGGTGATGGCGATGCTGGGGGGTGGCAGCAGGGGCAGGGTGGTGGGCCTGCACACGATGTCCCTGTCGTCGGGTGTCCTGGTGTCCCTGTCGGGTGTCCCGGTGTCCCTGTCGGGTGTCCTGGGGTCCCTGTTGGGTGTCCTGGGGTCCCTGTCGGGTGTCCTGGTGTCCCTGCTGGGTGTCCTGGTGTCCCTGTCGGGTGTCCTGGTGTCCCTGTCGGGTGTCCTGGGGTCCCTGTTGGGTGTCCTGGTGTCCCTGTCGGGTGTCCTGGCCCTCTCTGTCTGCCGCTGGGCCAGCGGGGGCAGCTGCAGGTTGCCCGAGCAGCAGCGGCGGCCCCGCCACAGGTCAATGCCCAGGGCGTGGCTGGAAGTGCTGTAGGATTTGCTGAGCCCACATTCCAGGTAATCCAGGGAATTCTGCAACAGAGAGGTCTCTGAGATTCCTGAATTCTGCAAACAGAGGATTCCTCCACCAGGGTAAAGCACATTGGGTTCTCCAGCCAGAGCTATCCCAGGAGATGAGAACTCCACGACTCCACAGCTAAATTTTACAAACAAATTATTTTCTCCATGTGGGTAAAACTCAATTCCTCAGCCAGAACTATCCCAGGAGATGAGAACTCCACAAGTCCAGAACCAAATTCTACAAATTATTTCCTCCATGAGGGTAAACCACATTCAATTCTCCAGCCAGAACTATCCCACAACTCCAGAACCAAATTCTACAAAGGATTTCCTCCACAAGGATAAAACACAATTCTCCAGCCAGAACAATACCTAGAGAACTCCCCAACTCCAGAACTAAATTCTGCAAACAGATTATTTCCTTCGTGAGGATAAACCACACTCAATTCTCCAACCTCAACTATCCCACAACTCCAGAACTGAATTCTACAAAGGATTTCCTCCACGAGGATAAAACAAAATTCTCCAGACAGAACTATTCCATATGAGAACTGCACAAGTCCAGAACTAAATTCTGCAAATCAATGATTTCCTCCACAAGGATAAACCACACTCCATTCTTCAACCTGAACTATCCCACAACTCCAGAACTGAATTCCATAAAGGATTTCCTCCATGAAGGTAAAACATACTCAATTCTCCAGCCAGAACGATGCCACAACTCCAGAACTGAATTCCATAAAGGATTTCCTCCATGAAGGTAAAATACACTCAATTCTCCAGCCAGACCCATCCCACAACTCCAGAACTGAATTCCATAAAGGATTTCCTCCATGAAATTAAAACATACTCAATTCTCCAGCCAGAAAATGCCACAACTCCAGAAGTAAATTTTAGAAACAGAGGATTTCCTCCATGAGGATAAAACTCAATTTTCCAGCCAGAAGCATCCCAGGAGATGAGAACTCCCAAGTCCAGGACCTGGCACAGCCTGACTGATTTTTATTTTATCCTCACCAGTGCACTTGGAAGTTCACACACCAGTGAGAGGGTCTCATTACCAGACAATCCCAGAGTCATTAAGGTCAGAAAAGACCTCCAAGGTCATTAAACCCATGGAGCTGTGCAAAACTTGGGATAAGAGTGGGAAACAACATTTATTTATTGGAGAAGTGCTCCAGGATTTCCAAACCCTTCTTTCCCACTCTTTTCTTACACGTTCCAAGTGATTTCCCATTTTTTGGGAGCCCTAGGACAAAGCAGCCAATTAAGGCTTCAGGCCATCACTCCAAACAGAGACAATTCCCCAGGAATGGGATCTGGAGTTGAATCCTTAGGGGATGATGATGATGATTAGGGTAATAATTAAATTTAAAATGCATCACCACAGCAGGTTCTGAGCTGCTGAAACGATGAGATATTTCCACATAAAAAAGATGAGATCCAGAGCAAAGATTCCATAAATCCCAGCAGCCCAAAGACCAGCAGAGCACAAAACCCTGCATCAACTCCTCCAGACCTTTCCAGGTGCTCATTTTTCATCTGCTGCTTTTATTTTCTTCTTCCTTTCTAAAAACCCTCCGAGATTATCCATCAGCAATCAAAGCCAAACCAATTTATATTTACCAAAAAAGACAAAATAAACTTTTTAGCTCACTTTCACAATGTCAAAAGAAGGAAAAGGAAAGAAAAATAAGGAAAAATAAACTTCAGCAGGAGCTCACCTCATCTGCAGTTACTGTCATGACACTTCTGCTTTTCTTCATTATCAAATTGCAAGTGCAGCCCAGGATAAAAAAATTCAGGTAAAGAGAATTTCTTCAGCGGGGCAACCTGAAAGAAAAGAAATTGTCATTTTTGTTTATAAACACACATAAATTATATATTTCTATAATTCAATTTAAATATATGTATATCATTATATACATAGAAAATTATATGTAATTATACATAGTAAAATTAATATCTATGAATATGTATGAGAATTTAGATATAATTATATAATAGATATAATTACGTACATAAATATATAAATTATCTATTATATATTGCTTATATATTTTAAAATTCATACATACATTAATGAGTTATTTAGATTTAATTATATATAAAGTATATTACATATTTATGTATCTATACATAAATATGTATAGATACATAATTATGTATATATATTATGTATATATTATGTATATAGTATGTATATATACATAAATACATAATAAAGATTATATAATTATATAATAGTATAATTATGCATATAAATACATAACAAATTCTTATTTTTTATATATTAAATATATATTTCTATATAATTCTAGAGATGTATATATTTCTATAGAAATATATAGAAAATTATATCTTTCTATAGAAATCTATAGAAACATATATTTATATATTCTATATTAATTATATTTATTATATGCTAATTTATATATATATATATAATTTTGATATACAAATACAAATATTTACATATTTTTTGAATACTAAACTGGGCTTGCTAACAAATAAAGCACCAAATTCCCAGCTGGTTTGTTCCTGGCTACCCACGTGGATAAAATTCTGGAATTGTTAGGGTTGCAGGAGATTTTTGGGCTCACCAAGTGCACCCCTGGAGCAGCCCCACTGCGTCCCCAGTGTCCCCAGGTGCCACCCCACACCACCCCGGCCTCCCTGCAGCCGTTTCCCACTCTCATCCCAAATTTTGCAGTTTTGTGCTCTGGTGGTCTTTGGGCAGTGCGGGGTGGGATTTAGGGAATCTTGGCTCTGGATCTCATCTTTTTTATGTGGAAATATCTCCGGATTTCAGCAGCTCAGCACCTGCTGTGGTGATGCATTTTAAATTTCGTTATTACCCTAATCATCATCGTAATTCTCGAAAAATTCAACTCCGGATCCCGTTCCCTGGTGGGGTTAGGGTTAGGGATTAAAGTTAGGATAGGGATTAAGTGGGTTTAGGGTTAGGATTAAGGTCAGG